CATTGTCAAAGTACCATCATATACAAATAGCACCTTTAGCAAGCAAGTAGATATAGCCTCAAGTGGATTTCCTACTATCTTGGCATCCCTCAGAATCAGAATAGCCAATGATCTCTAGTTGATCTGATCTCCTGTATGTGAACATGTAGTATTTTGTTTTCTGTAAATACCGCATGTCCCGTTTGGCTGCATTCCAATGATCCAATCCCAAGTTATTTAAATATCTCTCAGCATTCCAACAATATACACTATATCCAGACGCGTACAAACTTGAGCAACATAAAACTCCCTATAGCTAAAGAATAAGGAATCTTCTTTAACTACTTTTGAGAGTTATAACTTTTCATGGCTTGACGGAAGTTGATCGGATCATCTTCCACCATTCCAATATCAACTACATGTTCTTGGCGAAATGACATGTAATCATCCAAAACCACACTTCTCCTCTCTCTATAATGGAGCTTCTTAATGGCATTAGTTCTTGAAGTTGCAAAGTTTGCTCTTCTGGAACAATTTGTTGACTTTCAGATGGAGATACAAGACATTGTCTTGACTTAAAGTTGATTCTTGAATAATGTCAGGGATAGAAACCTGATCTTGATTATTGTCAATGATAAATAGAGGAATTTCAAAGTATTCCTTCNTTGTTCTTCTGGAATAAGTTGTTGAACTTTAGAGGGAGATACAACGACATTGTCTTAATCCGGAGTTGGTTCTCGAACAATGTCAGGTATAGAAACCCGATCCTGATCATTATCAATGGCAATTGGAGGAATTGCAACATATTCCTCCTCAAAGACAAAGTTTGTAACCTTTTCTCTCCCCCGCAAACTCAACATCCTCAAAAAACCATGCGTTTCGTGTCTCAAAAATTACTTTAGTTGTGGGATCATAAAACTTGTAACCCTGGATCTTTCAGAATATCCAATAAAATAGCAATTAATAGTTCTTGCGTCTAGTTTCTTTTCATTTGGCCTATTAGATCTTGCCTCAGCTGGACATCCCTAAACGTGTACGTACTTCAAACTAGACATTTTGCCCATCCAAAGCTCATAAGGGGTTTTATCAGTGGCCTTAGTTGGAACCTTGTTGAGTATATACACTCCGTCTTTAATGCTTTATCCTAGAGTGATTCTAGTAAGGTAGAATGAGTAATTATACACCTTACCATGTCCTTAAGCGTTGTATTTTGTCTTTTAGTAACACCATTCATAGTGGGGCGAACTCGACATAGTATTCATCACCACTATCAGATATGACACTTTTAATCATTTTGTCGAGTTTGTTCTCGACTTCAACTTTATAGTTTTTAACACATTTAGCGACTGTAATTTTTCATGAATGAGATATATATATAGCCATATCTTGAA